AAAAAATATATGTGAGAAGTATAAAGAAAAATGAAAGAAATAAACTTATGTCCAAGTTAACTTTTGAAAGTTTTACTGAAAATTTGAAAAGAACAATACAGAAAGAAAGAGGAAGAGTTGAGAAAGGTGATAAGAAAAAGGGAAGAAAGGGATTGGAAGAGAGGGGTAACAAGAGATGAGGGAAAGAAGAGAAAATAGGACAAATAGAGAAAGAACAAAAGGGAACTAGAGAGAAAATGGAGAAGGGGAGAAGGAAAACTTAGAAAAGGCACAAAACAAGATTTTGTAAAAGAGGCAGCATAAGATAATATATAGGCAAATTTATTTTAGACCATAAACAATTTGAAATATATTCAATAAACTGCTACCACGTGCACCAAAACTTTCAAACATTGCTGAAATATTTGGTGGCTTTTTATTTCAGACCGACATTGGTCCAAATAATGCAAAAAAAAAAAAAATAATTTACATTCCAACATTCAAATACCTTCAGCAAAAGGGCGATAAAGTATACGGACCAACTTTGGTCCGTATACGTATCAAATGAAAAAGGCAAGGATCAACTTAAAAAAAAGATATAAAATATTTTTAAAAAATGTTTAAATATTCAGACCAATGTTGGTCCGAATACTTTTTCTAGACCAACATTGGTCCGAATATCTTGCATAGTTTACACTTTTTTTTTTCTTGACACCTTAAATCGTTGTACTCTGACATGAACAACAACATTTAAAGGCCTTGAATAGCTTAGAACCTATTTTTAAAACTAAAAATAACAATCCAAAGGGTATATGGTTTCGTAACGGTGTGACATAAGTATAAAGTTAATAATCTTACCTCCTCGCGTTTAAGAGTTTACATGATGTTGCCTTACATCACGAAAAACCAATTTCAAGTGCTTGACTGATGTTGCCAGGGCTATGGGTGACTATGGTGGTTCAGTGCATGCGCATGGCTTCGGTAGAAATGGAATCGGGGCTCGAGAAAACCTAGTTGTCCTTAAATGAAAAAAATGAAAAAGTCTTAAAAGAGAAGTTTCTAGATTATACGGAAGTTATTCGGACCAATGTTGGTCCAAATAGCTTTTTTCCAAACCAAAGTTGGTCTGAATAGCTTTTTCTAGACCAAAGTTGGTCCAAATATCATCCAAAGTGTACCCTTTTTTTTTTACACTTTAAATCGTACGCGATCCGTTGTAATCCTACTTCAACAATAGCATTTAAAGGCCTTCAATAGCTTAGAACCTATTGTTAAAACTAACAATAACAATCCAAAGGGTATATAGTTTCATAATAGTGTGGTATAAGTATAAAGTTAATAATCTTAACTCCTCACGTTTAAGATTTTACAATGATGTTGCCTTACATCACGAAAAACCAATTTTAGGTGCTTGACTGATGGTGTCGAGGTTATGGGTGACTATGGTGGTTCAGTGCGTGCACATGGCTTCGGTAGAAATGGAATCGGGGCTCGGGAAAACCTAGTTGTCCTTAAATGAAAAGAATGAAAAAGTCTTAAAAGAGAAGTTTCTAGATTCTGCGGAAGTTATTCGAACCAATGTTGGTCCGAATAGTTTTTTTCTAGACCAAAGTTGGTCCAAATAGCTTTTTCTACACCAAAGTTGGTCCAAATATCGTCCAAAGTGTACCTTTTTTTTTGACACTTTAAACCGTACGAGATCCATTGTAATCCTACTTCAACAATAGCATTTAAAGGCCTTGAATAGCTTAGAACCTATTTTTAAAACTAACAATAACAATCCAAAGGATATATGGTTTGATAACGGTGTGGTATAAGTATAAAGTTAATAATCTTAACTCCTCGCGTTTAAGATTTTATAATAATGTTGCCTTACGAATGAAAAACCAATTTCAGGTGCTTGATTGATGGTGTGGGGGTTATGGGTGACTATGATGATTCAGTGCGTGCACATGGCTTCGGTGGAAATGGAATCGTGGCTAGGGAAAACCTAGTTGTTCTTAAATGAAAAGAATGAACAAGTCTTAAAAT